CATAATAGATGCTCAGCACATAGATGTTGAACTGAATTGGATCTTCCCAAATCCTATGAAGCAGATACTCATGTTATTCCCATTTCATGAATATGCAAACTGAGGCACGGAGAGTTTCCTTGGTTTGCTCACGGTCACACAACTAGCAAATAACAAAGCTGGGACTCAAACCCAATTTGACATAAGAGCCCTCATTCTTAGCTGCTATGCTGGATTGGCTCCTCCTATGCCGAATTCCCAGCAACTGGGTGGGAAAGCTGCCACATCTTGTCAACTTTCTCCCCTCTCAGTTGGGGCAGAAATTTGGAATGGAAGTTGGAAGGAGGCAGCGACCTAGCCTTCACTCTTCTCCTGCAGAACACAACCTCAGCACCTCTCCGTCCTCATCCCGCTCCCTTCCCACCAGATGTCACATCCTTCCTCATCTTCATCCCCAATCCCATTGCAATTCAGTTCGGCCTGATTTGTTCCCTTTGCTCCTTCTGTCGTCAACCTCATCCCTATCTATCTCTGTGAGGCAGTGTCCCAGGGTCTGAGACCAACATCTGTGACCCAGGAGAGAAGGTTTGCTTTCTTTACCCTGTCCATATAACATTTCCTGTCAGTCATTCTCCTTCCCCAGCCCCCTTTCTCTGGGACACTTTTGCAGCTGCTCTTGTTTACAAGTTTTCCAGGCAACCTCTCCCCCACAGCCACTTGTCCAGCCAGTGGCCTCATTTTCTCCACCAAAGGCCGCCTCACCTGATGACTAGCTGATCTTGACTTCCAGCCCACTTCAAAGGAAAAACAGTCACAAAACCCTAGAAGGGGTGGGACCAGTCAAGGATCCTGGTGAATGACACTTTGACTCTCTCTGCAAGTCCTTTACTTTTATCGTGGGATGACTGGCTTACGGGGAATCTGGGCAGGGCTAGACAGATTAGCCAGATCACATGAATACGTGCCGAGAGCTGGCCTTTAGAAACTGGCTGGGGGGGTGGTCAGGGCCGAGGCCTGAGGGGCTGAGCTGGACATGCACTTGGCGTTGCGTGGGATCTGGGCAAGAGCTGACTGGAGAGATGTCTTCAGTGATCATGGAGCCTTCAGAAGACCCTCACCCAGGCCCTAGCATGGCAGGGAGGGCAGGGCTGGAGGGGAGGTTATGGATAAGCACGGTAGCCAAGTTAATGACATTTCTAGTCTAGGAAGGATAGGTAAATTAGAAGAGGGTAGATAAACATTTTGAACAGTCTTTTTTCTTTTCTTATTGTACTTTAGATGAAAGTCTACAGAGCAAATTAGTTTCTCACTAAGCAATTAATACACATATTGTTTTGTGACGTTGGTTGCCAACCCACAACACGTCAACAGTCTCCCCGTCTCCACCTTGGGCTCCCCGTTACCAGCTTCCCTGTTCCCTCCTGCCTTCTCGTCCCTGCCCCTGAGTTGGTGTGCTCATTTAATTTCATTTTGTTTTATGGGCCTGTCTAATCTTTGGCTGAAGGGTAAACTTAAGGAGCGACTTCAGTACTGAGTTAAAAGGGTGTCCGAAGGCCATACTTTTAGGGTTTCTCCAGTCTCTGTCAGACCAGTAAGTCTGGTCTTTTTTTGTACTTTGTTCTACATCTTTCTCCAGCTCTGCCTGGGACCCTCTATTGTGATCCCTGTCAGAGCAGTCAGTGGTGGTAGCCGGGCACCATCTAGTTGTGCTGGACTCAGTCTGGTAGAGGCTGTGGTAGTTGTGGTCCATTAGTCCTTCAGACTAATCTTACCCTTGCATCTTTGGTTTTCTTCATTCTGCCTTACTTCAGATGGGGTGGGAACAGTGGAGTATCTTAGATGGCTGCTCACAAGCTTTTAAGACCCCCAGACACTACTTACCAAAGTAGGATGTAGAACATTTTCTTTATAAACTATATTATGTCAACTGAGCTAGATATCCTCTGAGACCATGGTCCCCAGCCCTCAGCCCAGCAATCTGATCCCTCAGGGAGTTTGAATGTGTCTATAAAGCTTCCATAACCTTACCTTGGTCAAGTTGTGCTGACTTCCCCAGAATTGTGTACTGTTACCCTTCACCAAAGTTACCACTTATCTATTGTCTAGTTAGTGTTTTTCCCTCTCTACCCCTCCCCTCCCTTGTAACCAGCAAAGATCATTTCTTTCTGTGTGTAAACCTTTTCAAGAGTTTTTATAATGCTGGTCTCATAGAATATTTGTCCTTTTGCGTTTGACTTATTACACTCAGCATGATGCCCTCTAGATTTGTCAGTGTTGTGAGATGTTTTGTGGATTCATTATTCTTTATTGTTGTATAATAAATTCCATTGTGTGTATGTACTATAGTTTGTTTATCCCTTCCTCTGTTGAAGAGAACTTAGGTTGTTTCCATCTTTTTGCTATTGTGAATAATGCTGCAATGAACATGGATGTGCATGTGTCTATTCATGTGATGGCTCTTATTTCTCTAGGATATATTCCTAGGAGTGAGATTTTTGGATCATACGGTATTTCTATTTCTAGCTTTTTAAGGACTCGCCATATCGTTTTCCAAAATGATTGTACTATTCTACATTCCCACCAGCAGTGCATAAGAGTTCCAAGCTCCCTGCAGCCTCTCTAACATTTGCTATTTTCTGTTTTTTTGGTTTTGCCAGTAATGTCAGGGTGAGATGGTATCTCATCGTAGTTTTGATTTGCATTTGTCTAATGGCCAGTGAGTGATCGCGAGCATTTCCTCATGTGTCTGTTAGCAGTCTGAATGTCTTCTTGGTGAAGTGTCTGTCCATATCTTTTGCCCATTTTTTAACTGGATTATTTGTCTTTTTTCATAGAGGTATTGGATTTTCCTACAGATTTTACTGATTAGATCTTTGTCGGATTTGTCATAGCCAAACATTTTTTCCCAGTCTGAAGCTTCTCTTTTTGTTCTGTTGGTGAAGTCTTTTGATGAGCATAAGTGTGTAATTTTTAGAAGATCCCAGTTACCCAGTTTATCTTCTGGTGTTTGTGTATTGTTTGAACAGTCTTTAGAAAGGAATGAGGAAGGCACTGAGGAACAGGAGTTGCGGGTAAGTTAAGGCTGAGACTTAAGGGGCCGAGATTTAGGACTGATGATGGTCGTGCACCTGGTGAGGGGCAGGAGGGCTGGAAGCCTGTAGGCATGATGCTGTCAGTAAATAAGTGGATTAATAATTATCACACAGTACAGTTGTATAATATATTCTCATTTTCTTGTCTGTATAATTGCCTGGGCCAGTGTCATTATCTGAGTTCCCAATATCCACACAGACATTTTAATACATGAGGATAGAGGCTCAGAGAAGTAAAAGGATTGTCCTCAGTAGCTAGTTAGGGTAAGGTTGGTATGAGAATCCAGGTCTCTTGGCTCCTGGACCCATGGTCTTCCAGCTCTGTCAGAGAGATATCTTCAATACAGAAGGTTGGGAACCAGAGACATTTGGCCGGCCAAAGAGGTAGGATAGGACCAACAAGAAGAGAAGCCTGGTACAGGGAAGTGGAGAAGGCCTGGAATGCTCTCTGCCACAGGTCCTGCTGGCTGGAGAACCCTATGACCCAGCAATACCACTCCTGGATATATACCCAAGAGAAATGAGTGTATTAAGTTCACCAAAAGACAGGCACACGAATGCTCACAGCAGCTTTATTTATATCACCAAAAATGAGAAAAAAGTCAAATTGTCCATCAACAGAAGAATGGATAAATAAACTGTGTGGTACATCTATGCAATGGAATACTACTCAGCACTAAAAAAGAAACTGCTCGTACACACAACCACATTCATGAATCACAAAGGCATTATGCTGAGTGAAAAGAACCAGTCTCAAAAGAGTACATTCAATATGATCAAAACTGGTCTGGAGTGACGGAAATCAGATCAGTGGTTGCTTCTGGGCGGTGGGGGAGACTGTTTGGAAAGGGGCTCAAGGAAATTTCTGAGGTGGTGGAAATCTCTGTATCTTGACCTGGGTGGTGGGTAGCATGTACATAGTTACCTTAAGATTTATACATTTTACCATGTGTAAATGATACCTCAATTAAAAAAATTTTAAGCTCAGTTTTTTAGGAACGAGCCAGTTGAAGAAGAAAAAAGAAGTGTCTTGAACAGAGTGGATGTGATTCCCAGATTGGCTCCCGTGTAAGGTGACCAACTGTCCTGATTTGCCTGGAACTGAAACATTTCCTGGGACATGAGACTTTCAGTGCTAAACCCAGGAGGGTCCCAGGGAAACTAGACAGCTGGTTACCCACCTCCTGTGGAAGTGGTAATTGAGAAGGGGTATTTGGACATCTGGCAGAGGCGGCTCTCTTGGCCCTGGGGTCTGCTCCAGAGAGCTCAGAGAGGGGCTTGCCAAAAGGACAGGGTGGCAGGCATTGCTGGCCTGCACCAGGGTGTCAGGGATAAGGGTATCTTTGTTCCTTGGTACCCTCCCCAGTGTTCCTGACCCTCTAGGAGCCGGGGGTGGGGGGGACTGCTCCCTTTTGGAGCTGGAGGTAAAAGGCCTGGGAGACTCAGCTGAGGCAGTCAGGCAATCCAGATTCTAAGCATCATGACTGCTGGGTAGGCTCCAAGGAGATTCTCTCTCCAAGTCCTCTCTTCGCATCCCGTATTGCACCCCATCCTCCCTCAAATGCCTAGGCCAAAGCAATACAGTGGTTTTGTGGAAGTGTGACTGAGTCATGGTGCCCTACTGGAGGCAAGTGTTGTTGTATCTCTTCTCCTTCTTCACATGAGCACCTTTGCAGTCACCACAGGCAGGGACTGTCCAGCCTGTTCTCTCCCCATTTTGCTCGCCACAACCGCCCGTGGCTTGAGCAGCAGGTTTTCTGTGCCTCCTCAGAGCACAGACAGACAGGCAATGAGGGTGGGCTGCCCCAGCTCTCTAGCTGGAGTTCCAGGTGGATTCTGACACAGAACTGCCGGCAGGGCTGGGCAACTTGGGTCCACAGAGGGGAGGACAGGAGTCAGCAGGGCTGAAGCACAGCAGGGAGGGTGGGCTCAGAAGTTCTCATAGTGGTGCATGAAATGGGCCCGGTCCTGCTGGTTGATGAGCTGACAGGCCTTCTCTACATTCTTGGTCATTCCTGGAGGGCCACAGCTGAACACCCCGATCTTCCGCACCTGTCAGGGTGTGGAGAGTGGGAAGTGGTTGGAGAGGGAAGGAGAGGTGTTGCAGGCTTGAGATACTCCCCAGGAGGAAGCTGCTTCTCCAGCCTGGCTGGAGCGGCCGCACATCCACCCCAGGCCCTGAGAAGGTGGCTTTAGCTGCGGGGCCCTCACTGAAGCCCTCCTCCAACACATGGTCCCATCTTGCATGCTTGAGGACAGAGAAAGGCCAGAATCCCACGGTGGGTGGGGGCAGGGCTGACCTGTGGGTGGACGTCCTGCAGGGAGTTGAAGAAGGGCTCAAAGGGGGGACGGCCAAAGTGGGTGATGGAGCGCAGGCCCGTGAACAGACTCCGGTTATGCACCTTCTGGAAGTGCCGCTCACAGATGTACTGGGGGGAAAGGAGAGGGAAGGTCACATGAGGCACAGCCAGGATCAGCGCCCAGCCCAGACAGGGGCCCACCCACCTGCCTGGCTGGCCCTGACATACCAGCATGGTGGTCCTGAGGTCGAACTTCTCTGCCAGCTGGGTGATGTAGATGTGCACGGACACCAGGTCCTGGCGGTCATTCTCCTCCACCTCCCGGATGATGTCAGCCAGCCACTCGAACTGCCTCTGCGTCCTCGTCACCCAGATGAAGTAGATCTGGGGACACATGGCTCGAGCTTGGGACCCAGCTCAGCTTGAGGTCCCTCCACCTCGGGTACCTTCACCTGGGAGGCTGGGAAACCCCACACCACCCACAGACACCATGTCTCTGGCAGGACCGCTGCTTGATCCAAGGCTTCTAACCAAGAGATGTCAGCAGAGACCCTCTGACTACACCCTCCCTCCCTCAAACACTGGTATCTGGATAACTGGGCCTTAGAGAACCCAGTGTGAGGGGCAGGGGCTTTCCTCATGCTACTCTGCTGTGAGGTGGGGACACACTCAGACTACCTATCCCCATTTCTTTAAAGAGTGGGGGAGTGACACTCACCTTTTTACAGAGCATTTGACTGCCCAAGGATGACTTGAAGACCAGGTCTTTGAGGATGGAGGCAAAGGGGGTGACCCCAATGCCGCCTCCCACCAGCACTGACACCTCAAACTGATGCCACTCCTGGTGGCCCTCTCCAAATGGTCCATCGAGGTACAGCTGCAGAGGGGGGGAGATAAGATGTGCCTGGTCCTGCTCCAGTCCTGAGGCCAGAATGGAGGGGACATGGATAGGGAGAATACGGGGGCATCCTAGCTTCTTTTGAGGCACCCTTCTGTCTCCCAGCCTGGTCTTGGGGTGGCTGGAAATTCTAGTCTCAGGGTAGGGGAGGGTAGGGACCCTCTGCCAATACCAGAGACCCAGTAGCCGGATTCCCAGTGATGAGGCACCTTTGGGTATCTGGCACTGCTGTCATCAGTCGGGGATGAGTAGATCTCCCTGAGGCGGGTGGTCCAGGGCCCCACGGCCCGGATGTGCAGGCTGAGCGTGTCCTCATGGGGTGCGGAGGTGAGCGTGAAGGGGTGGTACTCATTGGTGCTCAGAGCCAGGCAGGCGATCCGCACCCACTGCCCTGACTTGTACTCAAATCCTTGGGGCCGCTGGAACCGCAGGTGGGTCACTCCTGGGGATCATGGGTAGGAAAGGGTATGGATCAGAAGGCCTGCTCCTGGCACCTGAGAACTGGCAGGCACACCTTCCTCTCCACATGCCTGAGGCACAAGGGAGTGGACCGGTGATCTGAGCAAGTGGGGCTCCCATGGCTGGGATGGGGGGCTCCGCTTCTGTTTCATGGTAACTCAAGAGGTTGGCTTCCAGTCCCCATTCCAGTCCCTCTTTTGCTCCCTGCACCCCCTTCACATGAAGGGCCCAGGCCTCAGACCCCTGCTCTGGATACCAGCCTGCTGGATCAGGGGGCCTGTCTTCCCATAGGTTCCTCAGGCCTCCAGGGACCATTCAGTGTTTACCAAACCTCCACTGTTTGAGGGTTACCTTCAGTGGTGGATTAACCAATAAGCAAAGTATGCACAGGCTTACTTGTGCTTACTTACTAATCTATAATGCAGTTTCACCTGTTCTTTATCACATCAAAGATGTGGTTACTATAAGCCTGTGTGTACCTTACTAACTGGTTAATCCACCCCTGGTTACCTCTGTGATTTTGGTCATATCTGCACACCTCCTGTACTATCACTTATGATATAATGTGCTTCTTTAAGTTGGCTTGTTTTTCAATTCGTCTTGACAGGAAACTTTAGACCAGTAAGGTAAGTGGAAAGCCAGTAGCATGTGCTTTAAATAGAAGGCAACATATTTTGTTATCAAGTTTTAGCTGGATATTGTTTTTTGACTAATCATAGCTGGGGCTCAGGCCTACTCTCTCTCTACTGAAACAAGAGATTAGTCAGTGCTGGAGAGTGCAAAAGACATGCTAACACCACTCTGAGACTTTGTCCTTAAGATGATCTAGACTGAAATAAAATAGAAATGAGGTTGATTTTCTTAGTATGGAAGTCCTAAAAGTTAGAGGTTTCTACCCAATAACAGGGCTCCAAAATACATGAAACAAACTCTAACAGTACTGAAAAGAGAAATAGACAGTTCCACAATAATAGTAGGAGACTTCAACGCACCACTCTCGATAAAAGACAGAACATCTAGAAAGAAACTCAACAAACATACAGAAGATCTTAAGGCCACAATCAACCAATTTTACCTCATAGACATATATGGAACACTCCACCCAACAGCTACAAAGTACACATTCTTTCCAACACACATGGAATGTTCTCCAGAATAGGCTACATCTTAGACCACAAAGCAACCCTCAACAAAATCCAAAACACTGAGATAATACAAACCCATCTTCTCTAATCACAATGTCATGAACGTAGAAATTGACAACAGGAAAAGCAAGGGAAAAAAATAAAATACATGGAAACTGAATAACATCCTGTTGGAAAACAACTGAGTAACAGAAGAAATCAAAGATGGAATGAAAAAATTCCTAGAATCAAATGAGAATGAAAACACATCACACCAAAACCTTTGGGACACAGCAAAGGCAGTGCTCAGAGGTCAATTTATAGCAATATATGCACACATCAAAAAAGAAGAAAGGGAGGAAATCAAAACATTAGCTATACAACTCAAACAAATAGAAAAAGAACAGCAAAAGAAACCCACAGCCACCAGAAAAAAAGGAGATAATAAAGATCCGAGCAGAATAAATGAAATAGAGAATAGAAAAACAATAGAAAGAATCAACAAAACCAAAAGTTGCGTCTTTGAAAGGACAACAAAATCAACAAATCACTGGCCAAACTAACAACAGAAAAACAGGAGAGGATGCAAATAACCCAAATAAGACATGAAATGGGGGACATGACAACAGACCCAACTGAAATAAAAAAAGGATCATTAACAGAGTACTATGAAAAACTATACTCCAACAAATTTGAAAACCTAGATGAAATGGGCAAATTTCTAGAAACACACTACCTACCCAAACTAAAACAAACTGAAGTCAAAACTCTGAACAGACCCATAGCAAGAGAAGAGATTGAAAAAGTAATAACAAAACTCCTAACAAATAAAAGCCCTGGCCCAGATGGCTTCATGGGAGAATTCTACCAAACACTCAGAGACAAGCTTACACCAGTACTACTCAAACTATTTCAGAACATAGAAAAGGAAGGGATACTTCCGAATTCATTCTATGAAACCAGCATAACCCTGATACCAAAACTGGGCAAAGACACCACAAAAAAAGAAAATTACAGACCAATATCTCTCATGAATATACATGCAAAAATTCTCAACAAAATTCTAGCCAATAGAATTCAGCATCATATCAAAAAAATAATACACCACAACCAAGTGAGATTCATACCAGGTATGTAAAGATGGTCCAACAGTAGAAAATCAAAGTAATCCACCACATAAATAAAACAAAAGAATCACATGATCATCTCAATCAATGCAGAAAAGGCGTTCGACAAAGTCCAACACCCATTCCTGATAAAAACTCTCAGTAAAATAGGTATAGAAGGGAAATAATAAACAACATAATAAAGGGCATGTATACAAAACCAACAGCCAACATCATTCTTAATGGTGAGAGACTGAAAACATTTCCCTTGAGAACAGGAACAAGGTAAGGATGCCCTTTATCATCACTCCTATTTAACACTGTGCTGGAAGTTCTAGCTAGACCAATAAAGCAAGAAAAAGAAATAAAGGGCATCCAAATTGGTAAGGAAGAAGTAAAACTGTCCCTATTTGCAGATGATATAATACTATACATACAGAACCCAAAAGACTCCATGAGAAAACTACTGGAACTAATAGAAAGATTCAGCAGAGTAGCAGGATACAAGATAAACATACAAAAATTGGTTGGCTTCCTATACACCAATAAAGAGAAAGACAAAAAGGAAATCAGGAAAATACCATTTATAATGCCTCCTAAAAAAATAAAATACTTAGGAATAAATTTAACCAGGGATGTAAAAGACCTATACAAAGAAAACTACAAAACACTACTGCAAGAAGCCAAAAGAGACCTACATAAAAGGAAAAACATACCATGTTCATGGATAGGTAGACTTAACATTGTGAAAATGTCAATTCTACCCAAAGCAATCTACAAATACAATGCAATCCGGATCCAAATACCAACAGCATTCTTTAAAAAGATGGAAAAACTAATCATTAACTTTATATGGAAAGGGAAGAGGCCCTGGATAAGCAAAGCACTATTGAAGAAGAAGAATAAAGTAGGAGGACTCAAACTACCTGACATCAGAACCTACTATACAGCTATGGTATTCATAACAGCCTGGTACTGGTACAACAACAGACACATTGACCAATGGAACAGAATTGAGAACGCAGATGTAAATCCATCCACCTACAGTCACATGATTTTCAGCAAGGGCCCAAAGTCCATCAAATGGGGAAAAGACAGTCTTTTTAACAAATGGTGCTGGCAAAACCAGATGTCCGCCGGTAAAAGAAAGAAACAGTACCCATACCTAACACTATACACAAAAACTAATTCAAAATGGATCAAAGACCTAAATATAGAACCAACAATTATAAAGATCATAGAAGAAAAAACAGAGTCAACGTTAGAGGCCCGAATACACAGCATAAACAGGATACAAACCATAACTAACAACACACAAACACCAGAAGGTTAGCTAGATAACTGGAATTTTCTAAAAATTAAACACTTATGCTCATCAAAAGACTTCATCAAAAGAATAAAAAGAGAACCCACAGACTGGGAAAAAAATTTTGGCTATGATAAATCCAGAAAAGCTCTAACCTCTAAAATCTATAGGAAAATCTAACACATCTACAACTAAAAGACAAATAATCCAATTAAAAAATGGGCAAAGGATATGAACAGACACTTCGCCAAAAAAAGACATTCAGGCAGCTAACAGACACATGAGCAAATGCTTGCGATCATTAGCCATTACAGAAATGCAAATCAAAACTACAATGGGATACCATTTCACCCTGACATTACTGGCACGAATCAAAAAAACAGAAAATAACAAATGTTAGAGAGGCTACTGGAAGCTTGGAACTTCTGAACTGGTAGTGGGAATGCAAAATGGTACAACCACTATGGAAAACGATACAGCAAGTCCTTACAAAGCTAGAAATAGAAATACCATGTAGTCCAGCAATCCCACTCCTAGAAATATATCCTAGAGAAATAAGATCCGTCATACGAATAGACATATGCACACCCATGCTCCTTGCAGCATTATTCACAATAGCAAAAAGACGGAAACAACCCAAGTGCCCATCAACAGATGAATGGGTAAACAACTATGATACATACACACAATGGAATACCATGCAACGGTAAAGAACAATGATGATTCTGTGAAACAACTCACAACATGGATGAATCTGGAGGGCGTTATGCTGAGTGAAATAAGTCAATCACAAAAGGACAAATATTGTATGAGACCACTATTATAAAAACTCCTGAAAAGGTTTATGCACAAAAAGAAACAACCTTTTTTTTTAAATTGTGCTTTAAGTGGAAGTTTACTATTCAAGTTAGTTTCTCATACAAAAATTAATACACACATTGTTATGTGACCCTAGTTGCTCTCCCTATACCATGACAGCACACTCCTCCTTTCCACCCCGGATTTCCCGTGTCCATTCAACCAGCTGCTGACCCTCTCTGCCTTCTCATCTTGCCTCTGGACAGGAGCTGCCCATTTAGTCTCATGGATCTACTTGAGCTAAGAAGCACACTCTTCACGAGTATCATTTTATGTCCCATAGTCCAGTCTAATCTTTGTCTG